ATGCCATTTCTGTTTCCAGCTGTCCCGCTGCTCAGCACCAGGGTTTGATTTGAGATGGAGGATGTTTTCATCTTCTCTAGTCCATTGCAAAATCCACATCGTTTCCTGCCTGCTTGTGTCTTTACTTACCTCCATCTTTCTGCATAGCTATTCATCATTACATGTGATGCCCTTTCTATTTTGTTCATGAGGAGCATTTTCATGAGGAGCATTTTCCATTTTTCCTCTCTGTGAAAGGCCCTTGATATCACTCTCTCCCCATTCTATGAATGCGATCCTGCATTTTTGGGAAAATGGCACACTCTCTGTCACAGCAAAATTCAATTACCGGTACACGTTATACAAAGGATATAGAGAAAGAGCATGAGTGTCAGGTTGATGTATATGTGCCAACACGTTGAAGGCTACTGGAATCGAAAAAGAAAACACTTAAGACAGAAAAAAAATGGTGCAATATAGCTAACTGTAACATAGCCATGTCTTCTATAAGGCATAGGGCTGATCTGTGGCTATGAATTCCATAAACAGAAACACAATGTGGATACCGGGCACCAAGTGGTCATTAGGGTGGGAAAGGACTTGGACCGTGGTAAAGGTAGAAGAAGGGAAGTGTGGAAGGAATCGCAGGGCGCTGATGACGGATATTGCATGCCTTATCTGTCACCTGCAGCTCTGTACTCATTATAAGGTGTGTGTGTGTGTGTGTGTGTGTGTGTGTGTGTGTGTGTGTGTGTGTGTGTGTGTGTGTGTGCGTGTGTGTCGACATAGAGAGATTCAAGTTGCAGTGACCTATGAGAACCGTATTTGCTTCCAGTGAAGACATATTTATCATCACATACTGCACCTTTCATTGTTGTTGTTTTTTAACTAAGAGGTGAAAAGATCATCAACAAATGTATTTGTGACAACTCATGAGCAGAAGTTAGAAGCTTTAAACCCCCATTCTGGAACATTAAAATATAAACTTTTTCCCTTCAATTATGCAGTTAATTCTCCGTAGCTTTTCAGTCATACTAATTTCGTGGGGTTTAAAAACAAAACAAAACTAAACTAAAAAGCAAGATCAACAAAAAGAAGGCTCACTACCTAGGTTCGACTTGTGCCAGATACAACACTTTTAAGATATCTCAGGGCGTTTGGCGGGATGCAAAAGGATTACAGCCCCACTGGGTCAAATAAACGCTCATTTTGCCCATCTCAGCTAAAAATAAATGACTGTTGTTTGTGCTTTAGATGCGAGAGCATTATTATGGAAGGCCATCAATCCATGTTATTCCTTTTTGCTCCTCTTTAACGACTTCACTCCTAATAGAGAAAAAAAAACCTAAATAAACAAGTATGGTCAGGGTTTGACAGCATATAGGAAGCATCTTGACTTGCCTTGAATCTTTCCTAAAGTACTGACAAGAAGCCGTAGACAGCAGCTGCCTCTGTGATGTGAGACTTAGTTATACCTGACAGACAATAAGACTGTATACAAGAAGGCTTCCCACTCACTGATATCGGTGATATGAACATACTGTACACGAACCAGCCACAACATATGCAATCCAATACAAATATTCTGCCTCTACAAAGGTAACTGAAGATTGTTGTCTTTTGACAGGGAAAATATTTGATTTAGCTCACGGATTAGATAACATTCTATTGTGCGCGGTCACAATGCTGTGGATGATTGGTAAACATCCAAGAGATACCAACACACAAGAGAACTAAAATCATAGCCCCTTGCATCGAGTGTGGCATGAAGTCGACAATTTTGTTTTTAAGAAGCACAAACAAAAACACAAACATTTCCTAAGTCATGTCTAGAATATCAGAAGATTGACATTCTGAGCCACTACAGTTATCTTAAATTTGAATGAATAGAATAATTAAACATTATATCTGCAAGTGTGTGTGTTAATGACTGTAATGTTTCAGTAATAGATGACGCTTGCTCAAATTTGTTAACATTTAAACTGCAATCATCAGATTTACTGTTATTCACATTGGGGTAGTGAGGGTCAAGAAAGAACCTTCTCAAAACTGGGGCAGATCTATTCTGATACATCTTTTAGTGCATTCTTGCAGCCTCTGTTAACACTTGTGCTATAGTTTCTGAATAAGGTAAAGAAATCAGGATTTGCAAACAAACAAACAAACAAACAAACAAACAAAACACGCGCCTGATCCATCTCATCCTTGCTCACAATCACGCAAGCCACTCTGTTTCTGCTGCTTCTCTTTCAGATCAATGTCACTTTAAAAGCCAGCCTAGATGGAGCCTCCTTAAAGTGTCTTCATGAGACATTTCATCACTATTACAAAGTCCGCACAAGTCATCAGACAATCTGACACACTTTTTGGACTTAAGAGTTTGTGTAAATTGAGACTCTGATGTGAGTCTTTTCGGGGCTTAGCTCCATACAAACCTCCCACGCCCTCAAATTAAATATACAGACTAAGTGTTGAACGTGTCAGTGTTGCTCTCGTGACAGCAAGGGTGCCACGTGCCCAGCAGCTCTGTTTAAACAACAATCAGTCCAGCATCGATGACGAAAGCTATGAGCAGATGGGAAAAGCAAAGAGAATATTGCAAAAGTAGTTTTCATGCCATTTCTGTTTCCAGCTGTCCCGCTGCTCAGCACCAGGGTTTGATTTGAGATGGAGGATGTTTTCATCTTCTCTAGTCCATTGCAAAATCCACATCGTTTCCTGCCTGCTTGTGTCTTTACTTACCTCCATCTTTCTGCATAGCTATTCATCATTACATGTGATGCCCTTTCTATTTTGTTCATGAGGAGCATTTTCATGAGGAGCATTTTCCATTTTTCCTCTCTGTGAAAGGCCCTTGATATCACTCTCTCCCCATTCTATGAATGCGATCCTGCATTTTTGGGAAAATGGCACACTCTCTGTCACAGCAAAATTCAATTACCGGTACACGTTATACAAAGGATATAGAGAAAGAGCATGAGTGTCAGGTTGATGTATATGTGCCAACACGTTGAAGGCTACTGGAATCGAAAAAGAAAACACTTAAGACAGAAAAAAAATGGTGCAATATAGCTAACTGTAACATAGCCATGTCTTCTATAAGGCATAGGGCTGATCTGTGGCTATGAATTCCATAAACAGAAACACAATGTGGATACCGGGCACCAAGTGGTCATTAGGGTGGGAAAGGACTTGGACCGTGGTAAAGGTAGAAGAAGGGAAGTGTGGAAGGAATCGCAGGTGGCTGATGACGGATATTGCATGCCTTATCTGTCACCTGCAGCTCTGTACTCATTATAAGGTGTGTGTGTGTGTGTGTGTGTGTGTGTGTGTGTGTGTGTGTGTGTGTGTGTGTGTGTGTGTGTGTGTGTGTGTGTGCGTGTGTGTCGACATAGAGAGATTCAAGTTGCAGTGACCTATGAGAACCGTATTTGCTTCCAGTGAAGACATATTTATCATCACATACTGCACCTTTCATTGTTGTTGTTTTTTAACTAAGAGGTGAAAAGATCATCAACAAATGTATTTGTGACAACTCATGAGCAGAAGTTAGAAGCTTTAAACCCCCATTCTGGAACATTAAAATATAAACTTTTTCCCTTCAATTATGCAGTTAATTCTCCGTAGCTTTTCAGTCATACTAATTTCGTGGGGTTTAAAAACAAAACAAAACTAAACTAAAAAGCAAGATCAACAAAAAGAAGGCTCACTACCTAGGTTCGACTTGTGCCAGATACAACACTTTTAAGATATCTCAGGGCGTTTGGCGGGATGCAAAAGGATTACAGCCCCACTGGGTCAAATAAACGCTCATTTTGCCCATCTCAGCTAAAAATAAATGACTGTTGTTTGTGCTTTAGATGCGAGAGCATTATTATGGAAGGCCATCAATCCATGTTATTCCTTTTTGCTCCTCTTTAACGACTTCACTCCTAATAGAGAAAAAAAAACCTAAATAAACAAGTATGGTCAGGGTTTGACAGCATATAGGAAGCATCTTGACTTGCCTTGAATCTTTCCTAAAGTACTGACAAGAAGCCGTAGACAGCAGCTGCCTCTGTGATGTGAGACTTAGTTATACCTGACAGACAATAAGACTGTATACAAGAAGGCTTCCCACTCACTGATATCGGTGATATGAACATACTGTACACGAACCAGCCACAACATATGCAATCCAATACAAATATTCTGCCTCTACAAAGGTAACTGAAGATTGTTGTCTTTTGACAGGGAAAATATTTGATTTAGCTCACGGATTAGATAACATTCTATTGTGCGCGGTCACAATTGTGTGGATGATTGGTAAACATCCAAGAGATACCAACACACAAGAGAACTAAAATCATAGCCCTGCATCGAGTGTGTGGCATGAAGTCGACAATTTTGTTTTTAAGAAGCACAAACAAAAACACAAACATTTCCTAAGTCATGTCTAGAATATCAGAAGATTGACATTCTGAGCCACTACAGTTATCTTAAATTTGAATGAATAGAATAATTAAACATTATATCTGCAAGTGTGTGTGTTAATGACTGTAATGTTTCAGTAATAGATGACGCTTGCTCAAATTTGTTAACATTTAAACTGCAATCATCAGATTTACTGTTATTCACATTGGGGTAGTGAGGGTCAAGAAAGAACCTTCTCAAAACTGGGGCAGATCTATTCTGATACATCTTTTAGTGCATTCTTGCAGCCTCTGTTAACACTTGTGCTATAGTTTCTGAATAAGGTAAAGAAATCAGGATTTGCTTGAACGCGTGGCTACTTTTTGACGGGTGCTAGTCACACATGTCTTGGCGGCGTTTAAGAGCAAGAATCTTATGGCGCTTGGTAAAACAAGCTGCTTTTTGAAAACCACGCAGAGACAACAAAGCTTGAGTTTTCTGTGGAAATCTTGGGAAATAATGAATGGAAACAAAGACAACGAAGTAATGTGTGTTGCTGAGCCTTTAAATATGAGGCGGGCTTGATTTGGACTTATGGCGATATGAAGCTATCAAGGAGCTTGGCTTACCTACTGTACTCAGGCACAGCTCTTCGTCACTGTTATCCTGGCAGTTGTCCTGACCGTTACATAAAAAGCTGCGGTCGACACAGCGGCCGTTTCGACACCTGAAGCGGGCCTCAGAGCACACCAAGGGGTTACCTGCTGTAAAAAATAAAAAAGAACAAGATCTATCACCAACCTGTATACGTTTTGCTCTGATCTTTTACAACAAGAGTTACAGTACCTTTCGTCAGGGCATTTTTCAACTCACAGAAGAATAAATGTACATTGACAGTATGCTCACCAATTGAACGTAAAATATAAAGAAAATAACACACACACACACACACACACACACACACACACACACACACACACACACACACACACAAAAACTGTCACCATTGCACGACAACTACTTTGTGTTTTTACGGTTGTCTGTTGTCATACTGAAGAACCATTCTCAAATGACACCGAGTCCAGAATATTGCTGCTCGAGTGCAGATGAGAACTCAGACTTACTGATCCTATTTACCCTGCTTTGGCTCACTGTGCTTTATAAATAGGCTCAAGAATAATTTTTGTCATCAAAAATGTAGTTGAATCTAAAACATGACATTCAAGGATTCACATATGCTGAATTTACATAATTGGAGGAAAAGACTTTTGGTCTGGCCAGACCTTTCAGTTCTGGACCTGAGGGCAAATATGCCTGTATTCAGTATTAGAAGAGCAAAACTCAAACCTCGCGCTGTAATTCAAGGGCATAATTCACCCTCTCTTTCTCACCAATTTAGCTGGATTTGTTCTGCTGGAACAGCTCCAAAAGTACCTTGGAGTAACTTTTGATGTGAATGGGGAGTATGTAAACTTAAGTGAATGGACATCATGGAATTCGAAGAGAAATCATTCACATAAGACATCACATGTGAATGAAATTAATCACAGTGCGTGTAAGTAGATCTGGGGAATTCCATTAAAGGCAGCTCAAGAGGAAAACAAACAGAAAGCATAATTAAGTCAAGCCTATCAGCTAACAACCCCCAAGAAGATTTTCTGTATTTTCCCCTCATTTTGTTGTATCTGTCGTTATCTACACCACAGGATGACAATACGGGATTTCTTCTTTTCCTTTCGGCTTATCCCGTTTGGGGTTGCCACAGTGTGTTGTACTTTTCCATTCAAGTCTATCTTTAGCATCCTCCTCTCGAACACCAATTGCCCTCATGTTTACCCTCACTACAACCATCAACAGACTATTAAGTCCTCAGGGTCAGACAAAACCTTGACTACCTTGGTATTTGATGAATAAAAGCAATTTTAAAAGTGAGTATGCTTTTTTCAGTGGTAACTGGTACTGATTTCAAAGACAGATTGTTTTTTCAGATTATTTTGTAATTATTTTATTTATTTTTACTAAGAGGCTGTGAAACAATGCTACTCCAATGTCAGTTAGGGATATACATCCATCCGTCATCCTCACGAGGGTTGCGGGCCTCCTGTGCCAATCCCAGGGCAGCACAGTGATTGACTGGTTAGCATGTCTGCCTCGCAGCGCAGAGATCCAGGGTTCAATTGCGGCTCCGGCCTTCTTGTGTGGAGTAGTCTGCATGTTCTTCCCGTGCCTGCGTGGATTTTCTCCAGATTCCAAAAACATTTGGTTTTGTTTCCACTTGTTCTTGTCATCCATTTATTGTATTTAGTTCCCTCAGTTCTGTCAGTCTTGTTGGGATCGTTGTGTTACTGCCTCGTTTTTTTGTTTTTTTTTTGGGTGTGTTTCTGTCATGTTCTTTTGTTCTTCCTGCAATGTGTTTTTGTTAGTTTGTTACTTTGAGTTATTTGGGTTTTTCGGGACTTGTTTTGTGTTTTTGATGTGGTCATTCCAGTGTAACCCTGCAAAAGTGTTTTTTTTTTTTTTTAATACATTTTGTTCAGTACTCCCTGCTTCTCCTGCCACCCTGCTTTTTTGGGTATAGGGAATTGGGAATAGAAACTTCATGTAGTTTTAAAAATAGATTTAAAAAAGTGATTTAAGAACAAAATACCGATAAATCATTTCTATTGTTATGTAGAGCCAAATGTTGTGATGGGATGACTACCGTATCGTCACCGGGTCTGATAACCATAGCCCTCAGACACCTGCCACTCATTTTATGTTGGTTGTGGGAAACTTACTGCAGTTGTCTTCATCACTCCCGTCAGGGCAGTCACTAAAGCCATTACACTGGAAACGTCCAATGATGCAGTGGATCCCATTGGCACAGGCAAAGAACGTAGGTGCACACTTGGACTTGACTTTAGCTGAGGAGTAATTGAGGGGAGGAAACCAAGTAAAATCACACATTAGTCTTCAACCAGAGGAAGCAACAATAACAACAACAACAAAAATAATCAATTCATAATACATGCATTTTGGTTGGACTCCTGAACAACCGGGGTGCAAATCAAACATCTACTTGACATAGTTGTACCATTTTTTTAGACATGACATCAACCATGTTTGTCTGAAACATGGTTTTTAATGATTGATTCAACACACTGTAGAAATGAACCATGACGGTTATCTATGGTGCCAGTGTTTCATTATGATAAGGCATCAATAGGGCAGCTGACCATGACTCATCACGAGAGCAAAGATGCAGTGCCATGAAAATGTATTTGCACTCTTCTCAAATCTTTCAATAATCCAAGCAGAAATATAATGCAGGTTGATGATGGTTATATTTATTGGAGGTTGTTGGAGAGATGTATTCAAAGATGGCCCTATGTGGAAAAGTACTTGCTTCACCTGTTTAATCATGGCTAAAAGCAATTTTTGGAAGGCTGAGTTCATTTTAACTGGCCATACCCAAGATTGAAGACCTCCTTGTGTTCAATCAAAAAATACTCAAACATAACCTGTATGATATTATTAAGTTGGCCAAAGGATCTCGAAAAGCTGCACCAAAATGCCACAAGACAACGGAATTCAAAAACAAATGAAGAGATGAGAAATGAAATCATGACATCTATCGGTCTGGAAAGAGTTACAGAGTCATTACTAAAGCTTTAGGACTACTGTGAACCACAGTGAGAGAGATTAATCACAAATGGAGAAAACGGTGAACACTCCCAAGAGTGCCCGGCCAACAGGCAATCTATTATTTCATGAGAACTTAGTAGCAGGGCAAGAAGACAGGAACTATTGAGGACATCTCGAAATGCTATCTTGTAGTGTGTGCTTTGTTACAGAAATAAGATGCGAGACTTTCTCAACTTTTCATGATCACATGAAAGTTATTCATTGTCTATTTGATACACCATGTTTTGTTTTGTTTTTAAAGTAAAATTGATAGCCACTGATTTGCAGCACGGCATTTGTTTTGAAGAGCAAACAGCAAAAAGGGTTGTCCAATCTTAAAATAGTGACTTAATTGTTTCCATCGAAACACATAAAATCCAATGTTTTGAATCTGGAGGATGCCCATCACATTCATTCATGAACTGTGGAACAAAGGGCTGCTGTTGTGCCACTGACAGATGTTGAGCTTCGACTGTGAAGTTCAGATTTATTGATGTCAACGGAAACATATTCCTCCCATTAATCAAATCTTTAACACAAATATATGCAAAGTAATAAAAGTGTTTGGTCAAGACCAGCTAAACAAGCAGATGATGCAAATGCAAATGACATTGGCATGATATGTAAAGACAGGTTCTTTAAGCATTCTGTTTGGATGGGGATCATTTCAAAAACATCAGCCGGACAAGAGATGTTTCAAAAGTGTAAAGAAAACACAAGTTATATACTCCAAAAAGTATGTTGAGGGAAGCAGCAAATTCTAGCACTATTCAGCAATGACGGGAGAGGAAAACAAACACAGGGCTAAGACAAAGGGAACAAGTCTTTTCTCCCGGGACAGCCTGGATCAATTACCAGATGTCCTCCGGACCAAACCTAAACAAACAGATCGTGTACGAAATAGTGAAAAGGTGATTCAAAAAAAACAAAAACAAAAAAAAAAAACAAGCATAAAAACTAACTTGTTTCTCTGTCCACAAAACACAGATGAATGTCAAAGAATATTTTTGAATATATTCTACACTCACCTAATCTCATGTAATCTAGCCCAAATCTTTGTTAGTGAGAATTTCCCCCCCATGTTGAGATAATCCATCTACTTCAGAGGTGTGGCAAATCTAAATGCTGGTTTGAGAGTATTATTTCACAGGCATGCATGTAGGCTGCCACAATAAAGGATCTTTGTCAAATGTGCAGTTGTACTGTACTGGGTGTGTCAGGAGGGCCAGATGTCTCTGAAGTGACCACCATTTGCCTCATGCACTGAAAAACCTCTCTCATCAGTGGAATGTTTTCCACTTCTCTTGAAGTTGCTGGATATTGGCTGGAATTGAAACATGCATACGCCAACACAGGGCATGCTAAATATGCTCAATGGGCGACATGTCTGTTGAATATGCTGGCCATGCGAGAACTGGGATGTTTTGGGTTTCCAGGAATGGACTGACACCATGCACGGAACACATCTGCCTTGCGTGACAAGGCGGCATGTTAATTTTTGGTCACCACGTAAAAACATGGTTAAAATTAATTATTAATGTTAAAATTCAAAAGCGAAATTCAAGTCTTTGAAAAGTAAAAACGTTTTATGTCATTTGACTTAAATGCCATGATATGATACAATACAGTATCACGATATGAACCTCACAATACATCAATTATCACAATATTGTGGGGAAGGGGACGATATTAAAAAAATAAATAAATAAAAAAGCCCGATACTGTATAAAAAGTCATGATTTTTTTTTTAATTGCATTTTTGTACATTAGAACAGTGACAAAGAAATTGGATTCCCCAGTCACTTTGTTGTCAGTTGCTCTTATTCATTCTCATTCTCTAATTCTTTATGTATTTCAAAATGCTGTGTTCGGCTGAGAACACTAATAACACATAATATTGAGGCACTTTCTTGTTAATGCACACACACATTGTGAATTAAGTCAATTTGTGGAGGAACTCATATGTTACATTCTCCTTCGCCTGGCGATTAGCGTGGTTGCCAAATTCAAATTAAGCTGCACTAATACATGAACCACCAGAGGGTGATGGAAGTGCAAAAATGAAAAATAGTAGTTAACGTTTTCCCTACTTAAGGTACGTTGTGCACACATCCATGCAATATGAGGCGATCGATTGTGGATGAAGTACACAACGGGCCTCAGGACCTTGTCATAGTATCTTTCCACATTCAAAATGGGGGGGGGGGGGGGTGCGGGGGGT